TGTGTGTATGTGAGTGTGTGTGTGTGTGTGTACGTGTGTGCATGTGAGATTGCAGAATAAATGTTATGATTTATTTTACGTGCGCGTTGAAAAGAACGACCATGTAATTGCGTTTGAATAGATGGATGGATTGATGGATAGATGGATGGTTGGAAGAATGTATATAAAAGTTTGATGGATGGATGATGGATAAATGGATAGATGGATGGTTGGGAGAAGGTATATAAATAAAGTTTGATGGATGGATAAATGGATAGATGGATGATGGAAGAAAATGATGGTGGACTGATAGTTGAATGAAAGAATAGATGGTTAAAACCAATGAATGGATGGTTTGATGGATGAATGAAGAATGAATGTGGATGGAGAATACATAAAGATGCGGTATTGTGTTATAAATTTCCTCCCATCTGCTCGAGCAGTTCAGTTGTTTACATCTCTGCTCTTCTGCTTTTAGGTTAACTGTTTTCATTTATTGCCGTTTTTGTTTTCAACGAAATTATCTTTTGCTCATTCATGTAGCAATCATAAATTGTAATAAAAATTTTAAATGAAAATGAATTGACAATTTTACTTTGGACTGATTCAAGATATAAATAATACTTGAGAATTATACTTCAAGTTTTTTAAATGCACATACACCTCACACACAGGCACGCACACACACCCACCACACACACATTTATACGAAATACATGTTTTGCCTTATATATAACTCTATTAAACTAATTCTAACACAGAAGCACAAACTATTATATGAAAAATATATCATATATACTAAATTATCGATGAAAATCACAGCATGTTCGGCGTTAGTTAAATTGTTAACTTCCAATTTAATTTTTCGATTTTTCTAACGGTTTATCGTAAATCATTTTTAAGTTTTTTTTAGTTCTAAACCAAAATTTTTGTTTATTTTATGCATGATAGAATAAACTTTATGCTTTTTTCGATAATCCTATATTCCTTTACTATTTTCAAAGTTCAAATTGATATGTTGTGTATATGCCCAAATGCTCAAATATATATTCATATACTCTGCCTTTTCTCTACTTTGTAAATAAATATATATATATATATATATATATATATATATATATATATATATATTATACAGAATAAACATTACATGGCACACAAAATGAATGCTTGGTTATTATGATATTAATAACATTATCCATATACATACATACCTACGAACGTACATACATACATACATACATACATACATACATACATACATACATACATACATACATACATACATACGTACATACGTACATACGTACATACGTACATACGTACATACGTACATACGTACATACGTACATACGTACATACGTACATACGTACATACATACATACATACATACATACATTCATCCATTCATAATTCATTGTTTAATACTTCTGAGCCACGATTGTTGAGTATTTAAGCAATAAGTTTAGTGCGTGTTGTTGTTTGAGTTGAGCAGGTAGGTTACTAATGAATGCAGGTTGGAGTTAATAAGCTACTACTACAATCAGACAAATACCTTTACACACTTCACACACACACACAAACACACACAAACACACACACAAACACACACACACATGTCACACGCACATGTATCAACACAAAGCACATACACACACTCACGCACAAAAATGTACATTTACATAAACAAACTCATTCACACATAGGAAGACATATTCACGCATACAAATAAATTGTTCACGCACATAAAAATAATGACATATATATACACAAGTATATATAAAGTTTTAGTTGTTGGTAGTAGCCTTTCATTCACAAGTGGTTAATAGGATTTCAGATAATTGAATTGAATTAGTAATTCGTTTGTGGGGTTATTGCTGTTGAGTTTAATAATTAGTACTGTTTTAAATTATTAATAGATTTAATTTTTTTAAGCTTAATTAATTTAAAAATTTGTTAAAATTTTTTTCAAATTTATAAATTTTTCATAGTCTTATAATAAAACTTTACGTGTTTTACCTTATGCTCATTTGACCGCAGTACTTTTCTAGCATGTATAGTAACTATCTGAACCTAAACTTCGATATGGACAATGACGATGACAGCAACGAAGAAGATGACGTCCATGGCTTCAATACAGAAGACCTTCGACTGGAATCGGCCTCTGAGACGCAGAACAACCATTTCTGGATCAGCAGGGAGTTCTTCCGCCACGTCAGCACATCATCCAGCACAGTATCCTGGCCATGCATGACGTCGTGTGATGATGGGGATGATAAGGAGGAAAGGGAAGGGATGTTTGGTGAGAATGACATCGTTGGATCAGTCATCCTCTCCTTGCCAGACATCCACGAACATTGCTCCAGATACGATGACCACATCTGCATCTTCCCATGCGTCGGATCACTGAACCTCAAACGCTACAATAAACATTTCGTCAAAAAAACCAATCGCCATGTAAATTCAAAAATTTCATTCTCACCGTCTCAACGAAAAACTTCCTCGTCCTCGTCGTTGTCGTCTTTATCGGCAATGGTAAAAGAATCGTCATCGTCCTCACTCTTTTCATCGTCATCGTCAGCTTCTATCACACAAACGTCACTAGAGACTGCAATCCAGACAACAACTCAATCAGAACCATCTACCGCGGTCAGTGCTACAACGGCATTTTGCAGTTCAGAAGCACCACTAACAACAACAGCAGCAGCAACAACAACAGTCTGTTCATCATCATCATCCTTATCATATTCTCCATCATCGTCAACGTCCCAATCTTCATCATCCTCATCCCAATCTTCATCATCCTCATCATCATCCACATCACCACCACAACCACCGTCGGCAACAACAACAACACCGTGCGTCAGTTATGATGGATGTGGGTGCAAAACAAGTGAGAGCGTTTGTGGAGCTAGAGTAGGCAGCACACATCAAACTTATCCAACAATTGTTTCAAAAAAAGTTACTAGTGTTCCCCTAACAAAGGATCATATTAATAACAACATCAACAGCCGAAATGACTTCTTAGACAACAACAATGAAAATAATTCTCCCGACTATAACAACAACAACCACGACGATGATAACTTCATGGAGCAAAACAAACACGATCATCATATAGATGTGAATGAGTGCTGCAATCATGATGAGGTATTTTTTATTCATAATGAAGAATTTGATAGCGGTGGTTGGGACGATTTAGCACATGTTATCTCAATAGAAAGTTATAAAATTCAGAATACAGATGGCGCTGTTGATGATGACAACGATAGACGAGAAAATTTTTTGAGAAACAAGAATGATGATGATAAAAATTACGGAAATGACGATTTGGATTGTAAGGCAACGGCAGACGAGATATCATTGCTGAAGAGTATGGGCACAAACATTGAGACAATCCAGTGCAGACATCAAATTATTGTTAACAAGTTAGATCTGGAAAAAAATAAGGTTAGTACTGCTTTATTTCATACATTAGTAGTGGTGTCTTATTTAAATTAGGTTTTTGAATTCTAAGTCGTTGAATGCTTTTTCATCATATAACCTTACCCAACAAATGATTACATTTTTAAGTTACTCGGGGATAAGGAGCGTTTGGAGAAATTCTTGAACAAAAATGTAGAGAGGGCTACAAAAAAATGTCAACAAAAACATCAACATCATCAACAACAACAACAGCAACAACAGCAACAACACCAACATCAACAACAACAGAAGCTTAATGAAGAACCACCAACATCACCCTGCATGTACAACGAGGCGAAAAGAACTTTGATAACGATTGATGAAAAATTAGCGGAGGTAGGTAGTTTTTGTTGTTTTGATGTTCCAGAGATATATTTTCCCGTCTTAATCAACATTAATTAAAATGAGATAACGCTTGCATCAAATATACATTTCTCATATCTACAGATTGACAGAATAAAAAGATATGAGATAGAAAGAACTTCCAAAAAAATGAATGAAGAACATGATAAGATGATGCTCTCTATTTTAATAAAGAAGGTGATTTTTATTTTTTTTTATATATATATATACTAACTTATTCAGAAGTGTAGCCGTTGAAGACCTGTTTTCATCAACAGTATCAATGTCGACAACCGCGGCCCCCTCCTTCTCATCAGCAACATCAGCTTCAGCATCAACAAAAACATTTCGATCAACATCAACAGTCTCTGCAACATCAAGAACAACAACAACAAAAACAACAGCAACAACAACAACTAAAATTTTCTTTTCAACAATCTCCTAATGAACATCATGAACAGCTTCTTCGCCACCAACAACTTCAACAACCTCATCAACTTCAACAATGTTTCCAACGGCAGCAGCAAGATCAACAACGACAACAATTTCCTCAACAAAGTTTTCAGCAACATGGACAAAAATTAATTCGGGAAGATCAAAGACAAGTGCATTCACGACAAGAAGAACAACAATATAACATTGAACATCAACAACAGCCACAAATAGAGAGCAACAAATTACAACAGAATGATGAGGAGACGTTGACAGACATTGAATCTTCGTCTCAAACTAAGCCACCTTCTCTATCGAGATCTTCTTCTGCGAAAATAAAATTTTTTGAGCAGTTTGACGAAACATTCCTCAAGTATAAACAGGGAAGCTTACACGTGGCACTACAATCGTTACTGCTCGCTGCCAACGACAACCCAAATAATTCAGAAAATGTATCAAACACTTTCAGCCGGCCTGTCCATTGCAATAAAAATAATGATGATAACATAATTAGTTCAGAACCCGAAACTTGTCCGTGCGCAACAAGACTGATAGAGAAATCAACGAACGTTGAAGCGTGGGGTCATTCTTCCGAACTTGTGGACAACTCTGATGAACTGCTAGAACAAATTAAACGTGATGTACGTTTCAACATTCTTTGTGAAAAGATTTTTTTAATGAATTTACAGTGATTGTTAAGTTAACTGTAAACAACAGAACTTAATTTATTAGAAAATTTTATTGACCACCTCAATCGTAGGCTGCTTACCTCATCAAACGACCAATCAGAAAGAGTGATTTCAATTTGAAAGCATTCATCGAGCAATCCGGCCACAACTTGAGCCTGCAGACGAACATTAAAGTTACAAAAGCACACGCCATGGGTCCACTATACAAAGTACAGCGTTAGTTTTTATTGGTTAATCATTTCAATTAACATTCGCCTAGGCTAGATGTTTTTTTTCCGGTTAATTTATATTACTTGATTATAAGTATTCTTCTATATGACGAAAATATAGTCTAATTATTTTTTGTTTTCAGACAAGCAAGAAATTGAAGATGGTTATAAAGAGATGGTACGTGCTAGATAGGAACAAGGAAACATTCTCAAGTTATCGCGATGAAACTTGCAGAAACGTCAAAGACGTTATCCCATTCCAAGTATCGAAATTATTATATCTCATCTCATTAGCTAGCCTTTTTAAATGTTCTGACAATATATCAAATTGAAGTATCAAAATTATTATAATATATCACACTGGCTACCCATTCAAATGTTCTGACAATAGATCAAATTTCGAATAAACAGGTTCATTTGATTTAAAAATTCTTTAAATGAATTTGACCAGCGTATAGAGAACGTCTACATAGATGACGTACCAACGAATTGCACAAAACTTCTCAAGTGGTCCTTCTGTATAAAGACGACGACCAGTGCACACCTATTAATTGCAGCCTCAAGCTACCTCAGACAGATCTGGATCGACATCTTAATGACGGCAATCACCGGATACCATGACAGCTCTTAACCTTTTTTTTAAATCATTTAGAAAATAATTTTTTAAAAGTTGATAGATTTATTTTTTGTACGTAAAGACAATAAATATTTTTTGTTGTGTCAACGTTGGATCGAGTCGGGAGGTCGTTGAATGATCAAATAAGATCTGGAGAACTCCAATCCGTGAAGCTAGCTTGCAAAAAGCAGTGATGCACGCGAGAAATAACAATGTCACAATAAGGTGCAAGAAAACACTTGTGCCAACAATTCCAGAGTTACAAAATCTCACAAAATTTAGTAAATTCGAGATGGAAACGAATAACGATTCCGGCTTGAAAAAATGATTAATTTCAGCGAGCATCACAAGTACCAGCAATCAACCTGCACACTGAAACGGCCTATAAGTTTAACTGTCGAAACTTCTAGAAATAACTATTTAAGTAGCAGTTTTTAAAATGTAGCTCATTGAATTGATGATTACTAATTATTAAATTATTAATTAGCACACGTTTATTAAATTATTATAATTAACATAATTATATTATAATAATACCACACAATTATTAAAAAGCACACGTTTCATTGCACATAAAAAACCTTTGGAAAAATTGATCGTGCAAAATTAAAAAAATTCTAAAAATAACTTCAACTAGCTACTTACAACCACATATAGCGAAAAAATCATGCATGAAAACTGCAAAACAACAACTTTGAAAACCATGATAAACAGTAAAAACAAGTACAGAAATAATTGCCCAATAAGCCAAATGCATTTAACAAATGAAATTAATATACCGACAAGTATATGCAGGATAGTTTGATGAATAAACTGTATAAACTGTAGCATGAATAAATTAATAAATTAATGAATGATCTAATAACAAATAATTGGTGTCTCAAGAATCTAACACTAATGACTCAACCGCATTTTAAAACATACCACTGAACAACAAACTAAAATTCAAATAAAATTTTTTTGTGAGGTCCGAATTCAGCTTGTCGTCTGCAATGATGTTCACAGCTTCGTTCTTACCATAGGCTTATCAATATCATGAAATAACAAAACTAACCTGTAATAAAATTAAAAATAATTTACTTATATTTCATCCAATTGGCACTTAATTAGCATGCAAGTGTACTAGTTGATCATATATTAACATTGTTGCCTACCTGTTCTCACAGATTTCAGGCCACTCCTTCTTGAAGAATGCAAAAAGATTTTCTTCGTACTGATCGAGTTGTGAACTTTCCTTGAAGACAGCAATGGACCAAATATGCAGGGTGGCTGTTGGATCAGTGCTCCCACCACGAGTCATCATCAGGCCAGGAGATATTGTTACTGATATTCTCTGTTATTAATAAAATTAATATATCAAAATATTTTTTAAAATCACAAAATCCAAAATTACAAGAACGATGACATTTAAAACTTAATAGATAATACCTATATAGTATATAGTCACAAAAATGTAATCAGTTTAGTTTGAGAATGTTGACATCATTTATCATTGCACGATTATAATGATCAAATTAATCCAAACTAATTAACTAAAGTTGGGAAAAAACATTCTAATTAATCATGTAATATATAATATAAACATTGTAATATGAAATATATTGTACATCATTTATTTTATTTAATTGTCTTTAAAATTAAATTAATTAAATAAAATTTAAAAGTATTAACTGGCTTTTATTATTCATTTTTCTTAAAAGAGCTAAAAATATATTTTAGACTGAGTTAAATAAAATATATCATAGGATATGTTTTGCAGTTTGCAGTTATTTGAATGTTTTATTTTTCTAGTAAATAATTGTAAATTTTACAGGTTTTGAGTCCAGATTTGCAAAAAGACAAAGACATTCTTGAACGGGTACAGCGTAGAGCAACAAAGACGACTGAAGGAGTTTGAAAACTAGAATTTACGGATAGACTGAAAGAATGTGGATTAACAATACTAGAAAAGAGAAGATGCAGAGGAGCTCTGATTCAGACATACAAGTTAATAACTGGAAAAGAAGAAACACCATTCACCAGATTATTTCAATTCAACTAGAAAAAAGGAAAGGCATTATGATTAAAGCAGATTAAGAGGTCATAGATACAAGCTCATCAAGAAGACAGAAAATCCAACAAAGCAAAGATTCTTCAACAGCAGGGTGGTAAACGCCTGAAACAAGCTGATGAATGAAATTGTCTCAGTGGATTTAGTCAACAATTTTAAAATAGAGCTAGGAGAGCTAGGATACTAGAATATTTTTGTAGTGGTACTTAATGTTAATCTTCCACAGATGCTAGTCTACTGAACCACTTTGTTTATAAACTTTATTATTATTACTAGAAAAATAAAACATTCACCCATCTCATCTTTATGAAAGATAAATGAATTCATGTTTTAATAAATTTCATTACAAAACAGGACACGACGAACTTGAAACAACCTCTAAGTCTTTTTTCAACGTAGCGGCCAATACATTTGCAAGCTTGACATGAAAGTCTTTAGGAATTTTTTCTTTGCCCAAATTGGTCTCCAAAGTGCAGATAGGCATTGCAAAATATTTAATTTTAATTGATGAAGGTTAGGGCTAAAAACCTGCACTACTGCACTACTAAACTAAACCGCAAATAAGATCAAAAAACCTCAAAAAGATGAAGATGAGAAGGACCAGTTTTGTAAAGTAAAATAATATAAACAGCATCGAGAAACTTAAGCTCCTCCTACTTTATTTGTTAAATTAAAAGTAAATATTATTTTAATTAAAATAACTTACTTATTTTCGTTTTTTTTGCGTCACTATAATGGGATGACGTCACAATTATATTTTGTTTAACAAGATTATATCTACTTTAATCATATTTACTAATAGTTTAATAATGCCATTTTATTTGGTTTAATTGATTTTTGTATAATATAATGACATAAATTACACAATAAAGTAAAAAAAGAATGAAGGAGAAGGAAATTATTTTTTTTTATTGACAGATTTTCTATCAAGGCAAAAAACACAAATTACGTCATTTCAATTATATTTCAATAAGTTCGTCAAGTTGTAGTCAGGAAATACAAATAACATCAAAATAATACGACAGAACAGAAAATTCGAGTTAAATTGAAAAAGGCTATGTAAAAAAAGAAAATAAACGAATGTAACAACAAAATAGAAAGATCATTATGTTATTCGTTAGCCACTGAACATGCTAACAATAAAACAATCAAATATCAATTGAACCAAGATAGCCTGATATATAATGGGCCTAATCTCATTAATATCTCCACCCCTGGTCTAGGTGGCTCGCCAATCGGTACATCAGGTTAATTATATCAGAATCGTGTATATATATTCTATATATATATCAGAATATTTTGTTCAAAAAAACACTACAAAAGATATTCGTGTGATATACCGTTGGTTGTGTTTGTTGAAGAATATTTGAATACTTTTATAGTTTTATTCACGAAATCATGTACGCATTTTCAGATGAGGTGCTATTAGGTGTTGATTTTCATGTTAACTATTCTTTTATGATTTTGATAATTATATTGATTAACCTTATACAACATTATTCTCTAAACACTCTACTTTTCTTAGAAATTCTATAACATCTGCTTCAACATCTAAAAATAGGTGGTCTGTTCTATCTAAACTTCTACATAAAAAATCTCACTCATCTTTCTCTGCTCAACAGTTTCATGACTTTTTTGTAAATAAAATTACTTCTTTAAGAACATCTAATTCTAATTTTCCTTCTCATAACTTTACTAAACTTACTACTGAATCTTTCTCTGTATTTACTTCAATAAATCTTTTAGAACTAACTAAAATTATTAATTCTATGTCGTCTACAACCTGTTCTCTAGATCTACTTCCTTCCAATTTACTTAAAGAATTCTCTTCAATATTTTATCCAATCATTCTCAAATTAGTTAATTTATCTCTTTCCACCTCTAAATTTCCTACTTCTTATAAGAATTCTATTGTTATTCCTATTCTTAAGAACACATCCCTAGATCCTACCTCTTTATCTAATTATAGACCTGTAACTAATATTACTTTCATCTCTAAAATAATAGAAAAAGTTGTTTTTAATCAACTCTCATCCTATTTAGACTTTAACTCTTTGCTACCTGTATCTCAATCTGG